ATTTGTAGGATTCTGTCGTTAACAAAAAGTAGTTAGATCTCTTAAGTAATTTGCATGCCCAGTTAAACTTCTACCAGCCTTCTGTTCTTTGTCATCCATACAGAAGCTATGAAGTACATCACATTGGATCAGGATTATGTTTGATTTTGCAGTCTAACAGGGTATGCATAGAACAGAGCTTTGTATTTAGATCTAAAGTTGGAGCAGATGTCAGAGAGTTACTTATTAAAATACCTCATTTAAAATACATAAGCAACCCTGAACGCTAATCTAATCAAATAGCAAAACGTTAATTTTTAGCTGGTAATATTTGACCTGACTACACAAAGGACAGGCACTGATCCTTTTTAATGTGTTTATTGACAAAATATTAGAATCCAAAAGCAGTACGATTCAGTTGTGCCTTTTGGAAAGATGATAAGTTTAGCCATTTGATGTGCATACCCAAGTTCGATTCCTTCAGTCCATTTCAAGTGTGTCTTTGAGGAAAACTTTATCAGGGGGCTTCCACAGAGAACTGGAAGCCAAATGTAAAAATAGAAGGAAACAGAAGAAACCTTAATATGTGGGCCATTAGAGAATACCTTCTAGAGACAGTTGCAAGTAAATTGTTTTATCGTAGCGTAATTCAATTTGATCTCTGTCTGCACGCTTCTGTGATGAAGAGTGGCCATTTATGGGGAGAGGCATACAGTAATCTTAGATTGGCAGGAAAAAAGGGCAAGTAGCCAAATAATGTTTTTGGCATCAGGACGTGAAAATTGGGTACAAAATAGCAATATAGCTGAGGCAGGCCATATTTGATGATAATATTCTGCAAGGTCCAGATTAATACTGTTTACTGCTAGTAACACTGGTATCTAGTTTTTAGGCACCAAGATAGCCGGGCTTTTAAAAGAGGTGTTCAGGCCTTATTTGTGGCCATGTTGTTTGAGTAAAAGAGAACAGATGAGGGGAATGATACCTTTCCTCCCAATTAATTATTAATAAAATGTTAAATTTTCATGCTCTTTGTCAAACATGAATAAAATCCAGAGTGTTCAGACTAGTGACAACCTGAATGGGTTTACTTCTCTCAGGACAGAGGAAGTGGAACAAAGACCAGTCCTGCTAGAGAAAAGAGAGGGAGCTCAAATTTCTCAAGCATTGAGATGAAGTAGCAAATTTCACTTAGGTGTACAGCAAATGAAAAAAAGCTTCAGAGAACAAGGAATTTCTCTTTGTGTGTCTCAGAATTCTTGAAGGGCAGCAGCAAATAAAGGCAAAGTTGAAAAGTGACTTTTGGGGGAGACTATGGAAAAAGCTTGAAAAATAAACTTGCTGTACATAATTTTTCTCAGGCCTTTAACTTAGGCATTTTTATTTTCCAGCCTTCATTTAAAGCCAGGACACATTATGAAATTAGCAGTTATGCTGTACAGTTCTGTATGTGAGCATAAAAATCCCTCTGCTGGATTAGGCTAAAGTTCCACTTTATTCAGCATTCTCATTCCACAGTGGCTCAGTAGTTGCTCCCAAGTGCCCACAAACAGGGCATAAAGGCAGTAGGACAACTGGTATTCAGTGGCAACACAGTATTGTCCTTTTTATTCTCAGTCCCTTATCTGTACCATAGGATTGTCCTCTTTCATAGCTGCTACACATTGGATTAATGTCTTTATTGAGGCATCTATCATAACCTCAAGGAAACATGTTGATTGGGTATTGAAGAAATATATTCACATTGAAGTGAGAGCCACCAGTGTGTGGTTACTGTCATAGTTCTTCCTCACAAGTGACATGGTACACCATATGTAAGCTATACTGTACCTACTAATTTTATAACATACAGAGAGCTTTGAGTTGAGGGTTTTGTGTCTGAAGACTCTGTTTCTAATAGCCCAGAATATTCTGACGAATGTGGCATCAAATATTTTGCTTATCATTCTGTGTGAAACCTCTGATCCTTACCTGTACACAACAAATATGTGTGGTTTGGGGGCCAAACTAGATGCAGCTGGGGTAGGCTCATTTAAGTCTGCCTAGTCACATATAAGACAGCTTCCGGAAGGGCGATCTTAAGTGCCAATGATATATCAGTTAGTGGTATTAACCCACTTCTGCAAACCATGGCTGGCTTCCTGGCAGTCTGTCTCCTAATGTGACTTCTCTCTCAGCTGGTCTGCAGTTCTAAAAGACACTATTTTAGAGAGAGATGGCTTTTGGTTGGCGGGGGGGGGATTGCACTGTGAGTAGCAAAAGACACAAGTGGGTTTAGTGCCATGTGCTTTGTTCTAAAAATCACATCCCTGCAGTTCTGCTCTATTATGAAAAGTCTTTGAGTGGGTCATATCTCAGCCCCTCCACTACCCTCCCTCACCATGCCCCCTTTCCCCTCCTTGTTTTCTCTCACTCTCTCTTCAATGGTGGCCTCCATCCCCCCCCCCCTTACAAGGGGTCTCAGGAATCCATCAACTGGGTATGTTTTGTAGAAGATTAGTGCCCCTTTGTGGTGAGAACCTACTGGTATGAGAGTTTAAATATAGTCCAGCCTGTTATGTTGTGGCCAGTACACATAATTTCTCAGGCATATAGCCTTTATATTATCCCTGGTGGATGAATGAAAATTGAACATTCTAAGTAGTATTTTAAAAACGTTTGGTAGCAGTGTTTCAGTAGTACAAATAATCATTGATCTGTAGGAACTTGTGCTCTGTCTGACTTACTTACTTGACAGCAGATGATTTTTTTGAAGCTGGAATTGTTGAGTGACATTTTTCAAACTGATGTGATACAAAAGTGATTGGTTCCTTGTATATGGTGACCTGTCTGCTGATGAGGAGAATCCTCTGATTGTGTTCTTTTTCTTCTTTAGAAGATTATGGAAGCAAGCCTAAGCAGGTCTACTCAGAAGTAAGTCTTGTGTTCTCCAATAGGGCTTACTTTCTAGGCTTTCTCACTCCCATACTAAAAATAAAATATATTCATTTATTAAAATATCTGTACTCCACCTTTCCTCTTGGCTCAAGGTGGCTTAACTGTAATAATTAAAACATTACAAGTCAAAACCAAAATAAAAGACACACAAATTGCTCCCCCCCCCCCAAAAAAAAGATGCCTGTGGTTTTTATCGTATTAAAAGCCCTGGCAATCAAACAAGATTTGCAGCATATCCCAAAGACTTCACATATAATCTCCCCCTTGAATGAACACACTGCAAATTTGAGTTTAGGTTTTTAACTCTTGAAGAACATCTTGTTAGCAGTCTTAAATGTAAGTTTTGTAATATTTCCGATATTCTAAGGCACTTCAATTCCAAATAAATTTCAAGTTGAGAAACAATTAGTGTTTTCAGTGGATTCAAAATTTAATTTTCATGAATATCTTATCCCATGTTATGATTGATTGCCAGCATGAAAATAATTATGTCCTGACTGTACAGTCTCAACCATGTACATTGATGAATTATGTATTAACTTCCTGATAATTATAACTAGTTGGAAGAGATTCATTTATTTAATTAATTGACTTGAGGATTTCAGACCCTCTCTGATTTGTTGACCACTCACTTGCCAGAAGTTTCCTGTTTAGAATTTTCATTTGTTTGGACGTGAGGTTCTTTTCGCAATTTAGTTTGTGATGTATCATAGAAATTGAAAGATATCAATATTTGTATCTCAAATAAATGGCTGTGATTGGGTAGCAAGAGTGATTCACTGCCCAAGCATTCCAGGCAGCGACTTCAGTGGCTACGTGAGGAGAGGGGAGCAATGTGGAAGGAGGAAATGGGCATGACCCTGTGCCTTGGCATCACCTTGCAGACGTGGGCCGCTGCTGCCTGGATTGAAAGAGAGTTGCAGAGGTGTGACCTCAGGAGCCTGCCCTGAACCCAGCCAGAGTGGCACAGAAGGGGAGGGTTCTTGGGGCAGCCCTGTTGGACGAAACCTCTAATCTCTTGGTATAGATATTGAAGGCTTCAGAACAAGCAGTGTGCTGAGTTCTCCATTCTTCAGAATTTTCTGTGTATCATGCCTGTGTCGAATCTTTGTTGCAAACTCTTGTTTCTCCTCAATTTAGTGGATTTGAGCTACCAGTAAGAGACCGCTGCTTTCTGGTCAGGTGTTGGCTCCTAAAATGTAACCTCTAGTGATTCAGTTTCCTGCGGGGTATCTGTAATACCAAAAACTGAAAAAGGGTTTTTATGGAATTCTAAAGGCGAACAGATTTACTGAAGCACAAGATTTTGTGGCGTAGTGCCCACTTAATCAGATAGAATACATAAATTGCACCTCTTTCAAGGTGTTCTTTTAATATTTAATCTTTGTTTCTGAGGAAGTTATTTGTGTATTTAGCCCTGTTGACTGTGCATAGATTCATGTGGGTAGCTGTGTTGGTCTGAAGCAGCAGAACAAAGTTTGAGTCCAGTGGTACCTTTAAGGCCAACGAAGTTTAATTCTGGATATAAGCTGTTGTGTGCATACACACTACATAATCTCTGGGCTTCTATGTCGGATTCGCCAGCCTGATCTTGTTGTCTGAGTCTAGAAAAGTACTGTGCTTTAACTAATTCAGTTTCCTTTCTATTTTAATACATGTCTGTATATTTTAATATATCACTGTTCGACTCACATCTCCTCTTGACTGAGCTGACTTCCTTTACTTGTTTTTAAAATGGAAATGAAAGAGTGTGGAAGAAGCAGATGACACAAATTAGCCTTAGTACTGCTGATCTTTTTTTGTCATAATTATGTCTAAATGTAAAAGGAATATGGTTGTATACTTAGATCTGCTGACATTGGCAGAATTCTTGGTATCTTTACGTACTGAGCCCTTTTTCTTCTTAAACTTATTTGATGGGGACTTTTTGTCCAAATTCCTATTCAGAAAAATTTCAGTGTGATTATGTAGTCCCTTTAATGATCAATAGCAAGAATATTAAATATTAACCCACTGAATAAATGTATTCATTACATCCTTTTAAGTATCCATTTATGTAAACTGTGTCTCAATTGTCTCAACAGATTCATGAACCATCCGGCTCCAGCAAACAGCCGTTACAAACCCACTTGCTATGAGCATGCTGCTAACTGTTATACTCATGCGGTAAGTAAATTGACTTACTGGCAGTACAATCTCTGTGGCATTTAAATGGCTCAAATTCCCATCTGTGTTAGATTTTATTGTGTTTAAATCATGATTGAATACAAGCTTGGGAAGTACCATTAATATGGTCATGACATTGCTGACCTAAGTACCTGTTCTGGGAGCACGGAGTACAAAAACTCAATTGATTTTATTTACTTATTCAGTCCTTCATCAGTCTGGTCTGTATTTAGGAACTGAAGATTCCCTAAAGCCTTGTGAAATCTCCTTCTCACTAAATTAATGATTGCTGAAAGCTCATTTTACCAATTTGGAAAGATTTATTTTTCAAAAGTTTTGAAAGTTTCTGAGCAAAACAGCAGCAGTGTTTGTATATTGAAGCATGCACTCTATGTCAAAATAGTCTCATAAATAACTCTTCAAAAGTTGTCAGCCAGGAAAATCATTTGTTAATCTTGCATGCCCATGCATATCATGCATTAATAACATGTTACCTAAAAGTGGAAGAGAACGCCTTACTAATTCTTATAAAGCTGAAGGAGCTTCTTTCTGCCTCAGGTGAGCAACTGTTTATACAAGGCTGGGTTGTTAAGTTTCCTTTTCAGTAACACAAAAACAGTGAGTTGCGAGGGACACTTCTGTACAACGCAAATGTCTGTTTAAATTTCAGAACTAGGATGTTGAACTGTTATATGTGATTGATTAGAGAACCACAATCAGCATCCAAAGTTATAAAGTATTTATTAAAAAGAAAATGTTCACAAGCATACTTTTAGCACAGCACCAAATTAAGCAAGGGATTCAAAAGAAATGGGTAAAATGCAATTCCTCTGTCCCCCGCTCTATACATGCCCTATCAGATATTAAAGTATAGGACAGGCTTCTTTAGCTTAGGAAATTACAGATCTCTACAGAGTTCACCCCCCATAGGAATTTCCCTCCCCCCTGCAACTATGGTAAACTAAGCAGAGTTTGACACTGCCTCAAGAGTTCTGTCTGCTCTGATGGATTTAGCACAAAAGAGAGCTTCCTCCTTGCTTCCATGAGTTTTATCACCTCTCTTTTTCCCACCCACTGACCAGGTCAGGTGGGTCAGAGAAGTTTTTCCTGAAGTTTCCAGACATTTTTTCCCTCTGAAGGCTCTGTAGTATTTAATTCCTCCAAATCTCTCTTCCCTGCTTGGGGAAAGGGGAGAGATTGACCCACCCATTATCTCTCCTGTTATATCTATTAGCATATGTATGAAGGTGGGCTGAGGTACATCTGGAAAGCAATTGCACAGATCTCCCCCCTTCCTGCCTGCTCTGCCCAGGGGGGGGGGACATTTTAAAACTCAGAGTGAAGCTTTTGCTCATTTCCAACCTCCAATCCCTGCTATGGTCTCAGCCCCCTGAACAACAGAAAGGCAGACACTCCTAGAGTTCCATAAGCAAACAACAGCTTGGCAGGCACCCTAGCCACACCAGGGAAGCAAGGGAAGTGTGCCCACAACTCTAACAGCTCCCCCCAGGCTGAAATACCCCACAGCAAATTCTTCTACTCTACAGAGGAAAGAAAACACCTGTCAGGCTGCCTGGATCACCCACAATTCTCCAAAGGCAGATATGACAAGGACAGAAAGGCAGACATGACAAGACTTCTGACAGGAGTTCCCCAAAGTAACCCCACAACACCCAGCCCCACCAGACCTTAAAGTGATTAGTGATACAAACTGTCTTGCATAATAAAGACCATTTACAGTTTCTTGCCCAACCAAGTGTTTATGGATTGAACTGTTAATGTATGTTCATACACTGAAATAATGCATAGTGACTATTTCAAGTATGTCCCTAAGTAGCCCTGACCTGGATAGCCCAGGCAAGTCCAATCTCATCAGATCTCGGGTGCTAAGCAGGGCCAACCCTGGAGAGTACTTGGAAGGATGACCAAGACACAGGCCATGTTATCAAGCCACCCCTCTGAAATGTCCTAGTCCTACTAGGGGTTGCCAGAAGTCACTATGATTTCCATGCTTGCAAGCACATACATACAAACACACACACACACAAAATACTCAGAAAAAACAGTTTTTAAAAAGGTATGTTCCTAACTAATAGTTGTGCCTCTGGGGTTACTTTCATAGTAGATGTTAGCTCCTCTAAAATCTCTCCAAGTTGGGGGTGGATTACATTTCTGGGATCCCAGTTATGGACTCCACAAAAAGGTCTCCCACATTTATACCCTCCCAGTCCTCCTGAGCGTGAACTCCTCTGTGTGCCATGGCAGGGGGGAGAAGAGGAGGAGAAGAAGAGGTTTTATACCCTGTCCTTCACTTGGAGTTCTCCTCACTCAGCCAAGGGACCTAATAGCTAAGCCCCTCTGCTTGGCGTGCGGAGAGATGGGGTAGCTCAGAGCCTTGAGTCCAAAGCCCCAGCAGGGGAGATAAATTCACAGATTGGAGGGTCTAAAACATGGGTCCTCACTCAGCCAAAGAACCCAGTAGCTAAGCACCTTTGCTCAGCATGGGCAGAGAGACAGGGTGGCTCAGAGCCCTGAGTCCACCTAACACCCAAACCCCAGCAGGGGAGAGAAATTCAGTCAGAAGGGTATAAAATGTGGGTCCTCCCTCAGCTAAGGCACCCAGTAGTAAAGCCCCTCTGCTTGGTATGAGCAGATAAATGGGGTAGTTCAGAGCCCTGAGTTCACCTAACACCCAAACCTTACCAGTGAGAGGTGTTCCCAATCAGGAGGGAATCAATGAATGTGCTTAGCTAGTCCAGTTTTAACAAGTTCCCTGCCTCTGTGTAACTGCGAGCAGCTGACAGACAAGAGGATATGGAACTGAGCTGAGAATATATGTAGCTTTCTGATCCCATAGAGCAGAATAGGAACTCTGTTACTGGCAACCAGCAGTTCCTGTTAAGCTTTGGAGGGCTCCTATTGGTGTTTCCAAGGCTGGATAATTCTGCCCTCAGTTGCCTTGGAGTTTTGTAAACAGTTTAATTGAGCAGAGACAGTCTGGAAATGCATTCATTCATGAAACACCATGAACCAACCAAAATTTGTGATGAACTTTACTTCATGAGCTGGATTGTGCCCATCCCTAGTCTTATTTTTACTTCAGTTACAAAGGTTGGCCACTGAAGTGTCCTGTTTTTAGGTGCTTTTAACTAATTTTAAGATTGCACTGCCACTATTAAATGAAAATAGAAACCATGAGGATTTATGTATATCTGGTGCTCTTAAATCCAAGTTTGTTTGTTTTTAAAGTGAAAGTATTATACATATATCAGTATGTCTGAAGTATTTGCATTAGTCTCTCTGTCAGCAGTTCCTACAGTTTTTGCTTGCTCAATGAAGTTTACAAAGTGTTACTTTCAGCATATTGTAATCCCAAACACAATATACTGTCTGACAGTCTGGCACTGCTTTTTGTTTTTTTGGGGGGTGACAACAGCAGTTCTGTAACCTTCAGTCAAAACAAATTCTTAAAAGGTTAACAGATGAAGGTAAAGGAGATATGGGTCTCTGTTTCCACGATGAAGATTGAGATAACAGTGCTGTATACCTGAACGTAAATAGATAATTATCTGCAGTTTTTAAAAAACTTTTTCCAGTTGCTCAGAAATGGGAAGATTGTTTTAGGCACAGGAAACAGCATGATAGAGGGCATGAAATGTGGAAAGGGAAGACAGCAAATAACCTGTTCCTCTTGTGTCCCCTAGTTCCTCATTGTTCCAGCAATTGTGGGTAGCGCTCTCCTCCATCGTCTCTCTGATGACCGGTGGGAAAAGCTAACTGCGTGCTTGTATGGAGTTGGCCTCTGTGCACTCTTCATTGTATCCACAGTGTTTCATATAATTTCCTGGAAAAAGAGTCATCTGAGGTATAAACCAAGTTCTCATTTGGGTTGTGGCTGTGCCCTGCATGCTGTTTCTAATGGGGTTTCTTGAACAAATGGCTAACCTACGGGACTGTGGACTGACAGTGGAGTTTGCACACATCTAAGCTAATTGACTTCCGTGGGATGTGTTTCTGCTTATGATTGCACTAACAGGCAGCAAGCCAATCCGTCAGCAAACAGTAAAACTCATAGGTCTGTGTCTCCCATATCTTGCAGCTCCTTCTAGCTTGCTACATACTATAGTGGGCATTATAGTATCACCATCTCACAGTTTGGTGCACTTGTCCCAGAAGTTGCACTTGTCAGGTTTAAAAATTACCTTTAAAGCCTTCATCTGAATCTTGGAAATTGTATATTAGCTCTAAATCAGTTTTCCTGGAGATATGGAATGTGGCTCAAGGCAAAAAACCTCAGTTTGGTTGTGCAGTGCAAATTATTCTAACATAGCCTTTAGATTTTAAAGTGGAACCTAAAGAAGCCACGAAGAGTGAACTGAATGTGTTGCAAAACCGTTTTGAGTGCATTCTAAGCTGCTAATATTAGCAAAAATGCAAGTGACTTAGACTATAGTTCCAGGTAAGATACTGCTAATGTTGTTGTTGTAGGTTTAGAATATTTCACTTTTTAATTTCCAGTGACTATGATAAGCAATATGAGTTATACAAACCAGTTTAAAAGAGCAGTCAATGATAATTTGCTAGTGGTGTTAAACGGATCAGAGAGTTGCATTTTCAGTTTCACCATATCTGGATTCCTGCACGTGCACACATGGCTTCTTTATCTCTCGATGGATTGGCTTTATGTTCTGTATAAGTAAGAGGAGAAGATCTCCTAAGCTTGTTTTTCTGATGGCATGCCTCTTATATTTGCATCATCATGCTCATTTGCACATTGACTCCATTCTCATCTGTGAATATACATAGGAATTCCCTTTCAAATAAGGGGAGGACATTATCCCACGGCCCTACTGAATGCAAAATGTTTATTGGGGTTTCCTGACTTTCCAGGTTATAATTCTGTTTTGCAGAGTACAGGGAATTTTTTTGTAGCCTGAGCTGAATATTAAAAAGTTAAGATTTAGGACTTTCCCCCAAGCTTAAGAGCACTGTTGATGAGAGACTATGTAGTAGCTGTACGCAAGGTGAGGCATACTAATTTTTTAAGAGTAGTCTTATTTTGGGTGGAGCTTAACTTTCTCATAGCCTGTCATTTTCTTTGCCTTTCCATTTAGGACCATGGAGCACTGTTTTCATATGTGTGATAGAATGATGATCTATATCTTTATCGCAGCATCCTATGCACCGTGGTAAGGATTACAGTGTGAACTTTTTCATAGATAAAATGGCATTGGCATGTTATCAGCACAGCTTCCACTATGTTGATTGGTGACTGATTGCATATGGCCTAATCTGCCAGGGTTAGAAGCAAGGAAGTTAAATCCTTTTTCCATTTAACAAATTAAGTCTGATGTTAACACAACTGCCCTGATCCAGCAAGGACCATATGTATATACCCCTGAACTGAGGTCAATGTTTTTCCTATGTGACCATAACTGTTGATTTTTGCCTTTCATTTCCGCTATTCCAATCTTTAAAGGGATTTGCCAACTTATTATTTTTTAATTTTTTATATTTATACCAAGTCCACCCTGTAAACAGGTTCTGGGCAGCTTACAGACTGGCGGTTTTCCAGTTTTATTGCTATGTTCATAAGAAATTGTAAGTCATCTTTAGCATTTGGAGAGGCATGCTTAAAATTAATATAATGAAATAAAAAATGTTGTTTGCCCTTAATAGCATTGACAACATGATATTGTAAGTATTAGAAAACTGGTTCTAAAGAAACATGCCTGCATGTATCTTTTAACTTTACTGAATTGCTTTCTTAGGAAATACAGAGAGTTTCTTTACATTTTATATCAGCAAACACAGACTTGCAGAACATTAAATGACTCTAATATACCATCTCTTCATTATTTTTATTGTTATCACTTTAATATTTTTTTTAGGTTAAATCTTCGTGAGCTTGGACCTCTGGCATCCCATATGCGTTGGTTTATCTGGCTTATGGCTGCTGGAGGAGCCATTTATGTATTTCTCTACCATGAAAGGTAAGAAATTTGTGCTTTCTGCCTGTTAATATTACTAGTATTAGTTTGTAGGTTTAGTCTGTATGCTGCTGTGTAGTATGAGGCTTAGGAATTAAGAATGGACCATGAAATCAACGTAGAAATAAAGGTTTTGAATTGGAATTCAGAAATATCCTTCACCAGGGTCAGAATACCCTCACCAGACTTGCAGTCATCCTGAAGGAAGTAGAGGAAGGCAAGGAGCAGAGCATAAAATCCTGAAAACTGGATATTTTTTATCCTAGTAAGAAAAGTGATTTTTAACTGAAACATGCTCTTATTTGCTGCTGAGAAAAGCACAATATCTGCTGGGCTATTCAGGCTGTGTGCTGCTGTGCCAGTTCTGGGAACATCATTGGAGTATTGGAAATAAAAACAGCATCTCACTTGTGATATTCCTCTTGATAAATAATTCAAGCAGCACTTGATATTAATTAATTTCTCTCACCTTTCCCAAGAAAATAGATTGCGCCCCATAAGTCTTATTTTTCCATTCCACTGAATGGAGTTGGATGGCACTCCTTTTGGTATTCTTTCCTATCATTCCAGGAGGGTTAATGACCGTAAAAAGTCTGGCGTACAGTTGGGGAAGGAAGCAGGCTTTTGGTTTCAGCTTTGAGGGGGTGGTGGTTGTTCTTCCTGTTTCTTAAACAATGACCTACTGGGCCATTCAGGGGGGATGTTCTTCTTTGAATATCTGTGGGATAGTTTATCATCTCCAGCTACTAGTGGTTAAGGAACTAACAGAAAAGCTTTCTTATTTGTGGAGGCCTAGTGCAGTAATAACAGACGGGCTGTTAAAGAATAATTTTTTTTTCTAGCCGTGGGAAACTGGAAATCGTTGCATTTTTGGTGGGGAGGCATTGCATATTTTTTAATCAGAATTTTAGGTTTACCATGTGTCTTTATTTTTGTAGGTATAAAATTGTGGAGCTTTTTTTCTACTTAGCAATGGGTTTTTCTCCAGCTTTAGTAGTAACGTCCATGGTAAGTAACAAACACTTGCTAGAGGAGTTGAAGTCTTAAGTATCAGATTTATTACGATTCGGTATGTTTGTGTGCATTTGCATTTAAACAACTCGTACTGATTTACGCATATTTAAAAGAGCATTATAACATCGCTTCATTTCTGTTGCCTGACTACTTTTAATATTGTGGTCCATAAGTGCACTGTTTATGCAGAAGAAAGCCTGATCTTAAAGCATCCTGCGTAAGGCAGTGACGGTGGTTTTTTGTTTGCCTCGTTAATCCCTTGTGACTGATTTGCACAACATAATTTTAACCGCTATTGTGTAGAAGTGTTGTCTTTGTTCAACATGGGAAAGAGGCACTTGCATCGTTTAATGAGATCCTGCCGGATCCAACCAAAGGGCCACCTGATCTATCATCCTCTTCCCAGCCAATGGGAAGCTCACAAGGAGAGCATGCAGGCAACAGTCCCTTCCCTTTTCTTCTCCCCTAGCAACTGGTGCTGAAGGCAAATAGTCTTTGAACATGGAGATTCCATTTAGGTATGTTTCCTAATGGCAATTGATGGGCTCATTAATGGGAAATTGGTCTTATCAGAGCATAAGATTTTTTTAAAAAGTACAGTCTTCATTTATTATTACTCATTTATACCACACCTTTCTCCCTCAGTGGGGACCCAAAGCAGTTTACGTTGTTCTCTCCTCCATTTTATCCTCACAACAGCCCCATGAGGAAGGTTAGGCTGAGAGTGTGTGACTGACCCAAGGTCACCCAGCAGGCTTCCATGGCAGAGTGGGTGGTCTGAACCAGATCCAAGTCTGACACTCTAATGCTCCACACTGGCTCTTTTTCTTAGCTGTGTGGGCTCGATTGTTGGCTATGAGAAGGTGCGTTGTTTTCTCATGGAGTTCCATTAGTCATAGCATGCAGTGGGGGAGGGGTCTCTCATACATGCACAGGTCTCCATCGCATCCTCCTTACGTAAAGTTTCTGTTACATGGCAGTTCTTCTACTAAGGGCCAGGTGAGATGTTGCCAGCAGATGTGGAACATCACCATGACCACATTTTTAAAGCCAAGACTGTATCCAGAGGGGCAACTGGAATCTGATGGGGATGGAGACATGCTTAATCCTTTCACTGCATTGCACTCTAATCTGGGAAAACTGGGTTTGATTCCTCACTCCTCCACATGCAGCTGCTGGTGTGACCTTGGGTCAGTTACAAGTTCTTTCAGAGCTGTTCTCATGAGCAGTTCTTTGAAAGAGCTCTCAGCCCCACCTGCATCACAGGGTGTCTGTTGTGGAGAGGGGAAGGGAAAGGAGATTGTAGGCTGCTCTGAGACTCCTTTGGGTAGTGAAGGGCAGGGTATAAATTCAATCTCTTCTCCTCCTCCTCCAAAATGCCTCTTAAAGGTTTTCCTCTCATGAAATTCCAAATGCAGGCAAACATGTATTTGAAATTCTGCAGAGATTTGGAGTATGGAACCACCTGCCACTTCTAAATTGATTGCCCTTTTGCAAGAGGCTTTTCTGATTGCAAATGAGTTGTTTGGATGATAGAAGCACCTAATATCTCGTTTGGCTCTCACAGTGACGCACAAAAGAATTCAGGATATCCTGTGAGATCCTTGAAATGACCCATTAGAATGTTATATCAACAGACATAGGAAATAACGTAATTGTGAACAAAATTTGAACCATATCAGTGTTCCTGTTTAAACAGAAATGTATCTTGAAGTAGTTACAAGGTATTCCAATGGACAGCTATGAAAGTCTAAGAAAGCCTTGCTGGATCTCTTCTTTTATCCGCACTTTAAAAAAGCCTACATTATAGATATACAAAGTAAACATGAGTAGGAACCGAACATGCATACATACCACATCATTAGCATTTCACTCAGTTACTTTTAATTATATATCTCAGGAAGTGGCTTTGGGACAAAGAAATATATATATGCAAAATTACTATCAGGAAGAGAATCTGTAACCTGCAAAAGTCTGCTGATTTACAGAAGGCTATGACACAATGGTTGCTTTTTGTTTCTCCACTGAGCATAGGTGTGTGTTTGCCTGCTGTACAGCACACAGTGCTTTTCATTGGCTTTTAAGCATTCTGTGTTTATAATGTTTATAAAGCACTCTTGTTTCATCAGATACCCAAAGTAGATACATTTAATTTCTTTTCTTTTTTTTAAGCCCCTGGAGGGGATTTTTTAATTGATTTTTTAAACACTACAAAAACTAGAACAGAAAAAAGGGAAAGGGAAAGCTACATATAAGGGAGAAAGTAAAGAACCCACTACTAACTAAAAACCCAAGAGAGGAGATCTCCAACTAGCTTTTTATACTTCATTCAGACTTTTCATCTTTGTACTTCTTATGAACTGTGTCAATCTTTTAACCCTTTTAACCATCCCCAGTTACATTTAATTGTATCGTGTAAAAGATACATTTAATTTCTATGGATGCCACAGATTTATCAGTGAACATGTTCAACAGTTGAACTTACTGTGTTCAGCTCTCACAATCACACTGAGCTGATCAGGGTTCAGAAAAAGTTTACAGCTGCCTGTTGGTCAGAAGCCAACTCACAGCTGATTGGAGGATCATCTGGGAGTCTGGTTCTGATCCACCACTGCCTCCAAATAGTAACACAGTGATGTTAAAAAGGGAGTGGAGAGAGAGCTTATTGGTCTTCCCTCTTTTTCAAACTATCCAGAGACAGAAACAATGATTTTAATGTCTGTATTGCAAAAAGAGACAAGCAAGAGCTTGGTTCTCCTTTTTTTAAAATCTCTGTAGCCCAAGCCAACAGTTTGGAGTGGGCAGAAGGGAAGTGAAATCAGCTGGAAGGGAAGTCAGTTGATCCCCTTCTACCCTCACGCACTGAATTTGCTGCGTCTCAGCAAGTCTAGGAGTCAGCAAAGTTTCTACGATGGGAGATCAGAAGAACATGACTTCCAACTGATCTACTACTGGGAGTTGGCAGACGCTTTTCCCCCCTCCCCAAAGAAAACAACTTTACCTGGAACACAGCAAAAGTTTCCCAGCAGGAGATAAGAAGCTGACTCCCAGGTGACCCCTTATCAGCTGGGAGTCTGCTTCTGATGCCTGAAAGTGGGCTGTTGCTGCGATTACACACAAACATGTTGAGAACAGCCAAACAGCCCATAAATTAATTAGCTGCCTGATCACCATGGGTAAATGGGAAGTGAGCCAAACTATCAGGTGTTTTTGAGCAGCCGTATTAATTTCTCATTTTTGTATTCATTTGATTACGCATCCATTAGACTAGAATTAAGCATTTTCTCTGGAGTTTGGCTAACCTTGCTGGAGCACCCTTTATCTAATGCATGACTTGAATTAACTGTCATCTACAGGGGGACTGAGCCAAAAATAAAAGACAAATCACTTTTTGCAAAATTTAACTCTCATGGACATTTTGTCTCTTCTCTCCTTCACGTTTTTATATTTCTGCAGTTTTTCTTTAGAGGGAGTGCTGCAAACCAAAGTGAAAATGTACAGTTACACAGAGTGAGGGTACAAGGAAGTGTTTCCTCTCACTTGTGACCCCACATATCTAGATGTGACTGTCATTAGAAAGTTACAGCATCATGTATATAAGATATGATCTCCAGTTGGCTGGTTATAATCCCAGGATCAAGAAAAAAATGGGGGCTATCCTGCAGTGGGAGAATTATGAACAGACACCAAAAATATTAACTTTGGGGGATATTTTCACTCTCTCCCAAAGCTCCTTTTTACTCTGAAAAGGTTCACATGCAGACATTTGGCACAACTATAATATGCTGAAATGCTGGTGAAATCTACCACATATTCATTTTCTTTCTTTTCAGAGTCATGCAAGTATGAATGTAAATAAGCCCCACCACAAATGCTACCAATCCTTTCAAGAAGCAATGTAAACCTGTGAAATACCTCTATGTAAACTCAGTGGTTCTTGCCCCCCATGTTTGAAACTCACCCATATGGTCAAGTGCCACCAGTAGTATGTGAACATTTTGTAGATAAATATTTAGAGGAATGTATGCTAGTAAACTTTAACAGTACCAGGGCTTGTATAACATCCATGATATCCAGAGGCAGTGAATGCTACAGGAGTTTAGCACCAAAGTGCTATAATGATTTTTATCCTAAATGCTGCCCAGGATCTAATGCAAGTGTTGTCAAACCACATGAGAAGGTGACTACAGTGCTATCATTTTCAATATATAAGTAGGTAGAATGTTGGCCAGAAAGTCTAACCTAATCACATTTAAATTAAAAAGAGGAGATTCTCAAAAATGAGGGGATTAGTTGAAATTGGACGAGAGTGAGAAGGGTCAGATCTCTTCAGAATGCATGGGGCTGTGCAAAAAACCTGAAACTCAATTTAAAATGTATGCCACTGATTTAGGAAAGGTACCAACAAGTCTTAAGTTCGACAGGTAAGCTATAAGAGGCTTTTTAAAGAATATGGAAAATTTGCAAAATGAGGAAGAGTGCAAACTGGCAAATATAAGTTGACAGTAAGGCAAAGGGGGGAGGGGAGATAAGCATATTGCTAAAAGCATATTGCCAAAATTCCTTAAACAACAGAAGTAGGAAATGAGCCAGGAAGCCAATTGGGCCATTAGATGACAAAGTTGTAAATGAATTTGTGAAGAAGGATGGAGAGACGGCAGAAAAACTACATGTTCAGATACTCTTGCAGACTCCTATTTTCAGGAAGGGCATCTGAATAAAAGCAGAGAGGTCTTCTCATCCATGAAATAATTAATATTCTGATAACAATATGAGCTGTCACTGTAGTTGGTCTTCTTATTGAAGGACTGGAAGGAAGCTCCTGTATTATCAGTTTTTAAATAAAATCCAGGGATGGGCATGAAGCAGGAAGATGGAGGTTCGTGAAGGTTTGTGGGGTCTTATGAACCTCCACAAACCTTTCCATTTAATGAACTGGTTTGTGATGCAGCACGGTTTGCAACCAGCATTTAAAGGGTTCCCTTTAAATGGCT